CCCAGCGGGCCTGGCAGCGCCTCTGCAGGCCGCCGGGGGAACTGCAGCTGCGGGCCCGGAGGCGGAGGCGCAAGGCGCGGGAGGAAGGAGAAAGGGGGCGGGGAGGAGAGGGGAGGTCCGGAGAGGAGGGAAGAAGGAGGAAGAAAGTATGGAGAGGAGACAGACAAGTTTTCAGGAAGAAGAGGAAGGAGGAGGGAGAAGAAAAGGAGGAAAAGGAAGTGAATCTCACAGAGGAAAGCCCAGGGGTGGGGGCGCCCCTGGCCTGGGAGGAGAGGTGGGCACAGGCTCAGGACACCCGCATAGGTTTGCTGAGCTGGCTACTTGGATGCCCCTTGAGTAAGACCTGGCCCTGCCCTCGAGGAGCTCCAACTCCAGGGAGAAAGAAATGGTCTGAACCACAGAGCGGGTGTAACTAGCTGCAGGGAGGGCTTCCTGAAGGAGGCAGCCTTTGAGTTGGCACCGGAAGGGTAGGCAGGAGTTTGCCGGTGAGGCCAATAGGGAAAGGCACTCCTGGCAAAGGGAACCACCGGACAAAGGAGCGAACAATCCACCTGGGCCTCCTTCCTGCTGTTCTCACTCCTGCCCTCACCCCGGACTTTGATAAGCTGTTCCCTATGGACCTGGTCACCAGTGGGAGAGAGTGCGCTCTGCAGACCCACAATGTGGGTTCAGGTTCTGGACCTGGACAAACGACCGAGCTGCTCAGTTCCCTCCTCTGCCAAATGGGTAATTCCTAGCACTCACCTCCCAGGATTGTGAAGATTAGTATGCGAGTCCCTGGCACACAGCCAGTGTTGATAAGCATTAATATTTTTAAAAAATTAAAAATATTAATTTTTAATTATATTTAAGTGGCCCAGGAGTATGATCAGCCAGCACTCCGGGGAATCAGGAAAGAAAACCTTTATTCCACAGCGCTGCTAGTCCAGGGGATTCTGACCCATGGACTAGGCCTAGTGGTTAGACATTTATATAACTTACAAAGTGATCCCCCGATAATGTCTAGTACCCCCAAAACCATGCATAGTTATTACAATATAATTGATTATAGTCCCTATATTTTGTAATTACCAATTTATACTTCTTAATCACTTCACCTATTTCACCCAGCCCCCCAGCCCCCTCTCCCTTGGCAATCATCATTTTCTTCTCTGTATCTATGAGTTTGTTTCTGTTTTATTTGTTTTGTTTTTTAGATTCCACATATAAGTTAAATCATATGGTATTTGTCTTTCTCTGACTTATTTCACTTAGCATCATACCCTCTAGGTCCATCCATGTTGTCACAAATGGTAGAGTTTCATTTTTATGGCTGAGTAATATTCCACTGTGTACATGTACCACATCTTCTATGATTATCCATCAGTGGATATTTCTGGGAGTAGGCAGATGTTTATTGAGCATATATTAGGACCCAGGTGCCTGCCAGCTCCTGGTGGAGGGAGCAGAAAGAAGAGGCTTAACCTTGCTCGAAGAACTCAGCATCTGCCACCATGATTTAATTATTTGATTATGAAACCTTTTAAATAAAAAATGTTGAGCAGGTCCCCTAATATCTGTATCTTATTTGTGTATTATCTATTTGTTTATAAATCATCCATGTGTACTGTGAGCACAGATTGGCATTGTGAATAACAGGCGGCTGCTAGAGTCAGCCTGAGTGTGAATCTTGGGACAGCTGCTCTCTAGTGGTGTGATGTTTGGCCAGTTATTTAACCTCTTTGGCCTCAGTTTTCTCATCTGTAAAATGGGGATAATAACAGAACCCATCTCATCAGGTTTTTGTGAAGCACTAAGCATTACTTTGTGTAGTGTTTAAAAGAGAGCATGGCCACAGTAAGTGCTCAAGAGCTGCTGACCATATTGTCTTTACTACTGCTCCACCACATGAAGTTGATTTTAAAGTATGTACATTAAAAAAGAATGGGATTTCAAATAAGTATAAACTGAAATCCTGATGCTTTCTTCCTGCACTCTGATACCGCCCAAGTGTGCACACACAATGCCTACATGTAAGCGGTAATCCCAAGGCCAAGAATGTCAAACTCATGCAGCCCACAACGAATATTTTTGCAGCCCAGCTAATATAACAGCATGTACACAATGACTTAATAAAAATTTCATAACTTAATTTTTATAATACCCTATTATACATAATTAGTAATATCGAACTGCAGCATTCGCTAATGACTGATGACTATAATCGTGTTGCATTCAATTCCCTTACGTGCCTTATGCACAGGCACACCATTTCTTTCCACTAAGACTAGCGGCAAATATTTTAGCAGCCGATTGCCTCGTCATTAGTCTTGTACTGACTTGTTTGGTGTGCGCAACAGGAAATATTTCACTTTCGGAGAACAAGAAGAATAGGTTTATTTGCATTACACTTATCAATTTGTGCAGTTATTCGGTGTCTGGTAAGTCAATGTTCAAGAAAAAATATTTTTATTAAAATGTTCTATTATTTTATGTTAACGATTACTTATTTATTTCAGCCCTTTGTATTCAGCACGTCTCTATTGAAACAAACCTACATTTCTATGAAAACTGAAGCTTTTGTCTTTTTGCAGCCCGCATAAGCTTAACCTTGTTTGTTTGGCCCATGTTAGCCTTTGAGTTTGACGTGCTTGCCCGAGGCGGGTGCCTGATGTCACAGGCGGTCTGTGGGTCGCCAGCCTGACTGCACGTTGGAATTCCCTGGGACATTTAAATACAGTCCTGCGGCTGAGCTCCGCCCCAGAGGGGACAATGCCGTTGATCTGGGATGTAACCTGGGCATGGAGACATTTCAAAACAACCATCCTCAGGTGATTCTAATGAGCAGCCAGGGTTGAGAACAACGGCCTTCAATGAACAGAGTCCACAAATGGGGCTCGGAACCTCCGTAGGCTGCGGGAGCCAGGGAGGAAATAGGGAAGTTTGCACGAAGGCTTGAGCTGGTACAGCCGTTGCCAAGGAGACAATCCAGCCGAAGATACCCCGAGAGCTCAAAGGCTGAAGGAAATCCTTCCAAAGAAGGTCAAGTCCAGCGTCCAGAGGCAGGAGTGTTTGGCTGGCCTGGAAAAGGCCTGCCATTAACCACTAAAACCGCCGCAGGAGGCCGTGGGCCACTTTTCCTTCTTCGCCACTTCTTTCAGGTTCTCCCTGCTCAAGGGCCTACAATGGTCCCCTATTGTCTGCTTCAACAGACCCAAGTCATTGGCAGGACCTTCCAATTCTGGCCCCAGCATGCTTACCAACTCTCTCCCTCAGTCTGCCCACCGGGTCTCCCCGCTGTCTCTGAAAATACAACAGCAAATCCCCGAAGTCCTGTTTTGCCTGGGCCTGTCTACCTGCCGAAGGCCATCCCACCCAATCTAATGCTCCCCACACGCCCCCAAACTTTTATGCCAGCAGGACAACTTGGGTTCTGGTTGTTCCATGTAAGAATAACTCCTGTGTGTGCAGAGTCCCGACACTTCCAACGCGCTTCTCCGGAAACCACGTCCTTCTTGTTTGGATTATGAAATAAGAATAGATGTTATTGTTCCCCTTTTGTGGATGAAGAAACTGAGGCTCAGAGAGACTCCCGAGGACCTGCCTGCGGTCAGGGGCAGGGCCAGGACTCAAAGGAACACAGATTCCCTGCCCTGCTCCCTCCATTCTAGGTGCTTTGCACCCACCAAACAGCCCCACCAGGTTTCTCTCATCTCTGCCGCCTCTTCCCTGTGTGCCCGCCCCCCACCCCCCCCTGCAGTGCTATCAGCATAAGACTGACCCCAGCAGGTGCCCCACCCGTGCTTTCGGTTCTTCTGGTCATTGCCAGTCACTTACTTGCTCACCAGCTGACAGGTGTCCTGGCTCCTGCAGATGAAAACAACTGTTTTTGCTTTAAAAGGAGAATATTGGCCTGTAATAATGGTAGAGATGATGGCAATGTGATTTTAAATATATTGATTTGTTTCTCTCCTGGTATTTCTTCCTCTCCCTCCCACACAAACATATAATCCGCTGTGTCCACTACCCAAAGTGTTGTGGCATCAACTCTTCAAGTGGCCCAGGAGAATGATCAGCCAGCACTCCGGGGAATCAGGAAAGAAAACCTTTATTCCACAGCGCTGCTAGTCCAGGGGATTCTGACCCAAAGCCTGAACTGCCAATGTGGGGTTAGGGTTAGGGTTAGGGTTAGGGTTTTGATATAGATAGATAAATGATATATCTCTTCTTGTCGCGGGCACCTCCCATGGGCTCTGAGGTTCCGCCCAAGTTAGAATGGGACTTATAAGATTACTGTTTAACTAGGTACTGAACTAGGCTGTAAGCCCTCAAAGTTGCCCCCCCCCCAATGTCCTTCTCAAGAGAATGGCGTGGGAGAAACGCAGAGCTTTGGTGCCTCTATGGGTGTGTGCCCATTGAGGAGAGTGTGTGTGGTGCCTCTTCGGGAAGCTCTGGGAGAGAAGGAAATGACGGAAGCCCAGGGGCCGGGTTCCGGAACTCAAGGGTGGACATGAGACCAGGAGAGGCAACGGCCAGACAGTGACCGGACAGGAGGGGCCTTAGGTAGCCTTGCAGAGATCCCTGGGGTGGGATGGAAGGATTCTTGTTCCCCCAGAAAAAGATGCTGGATGCGAAGGAGCCAGGCCGACGCATGTGGTGGCCTTCACCCGTGGACAGGTGCTGGAGGACAGTAATGACTGATGGAAGCCCCAGTGTGATGAATGAGGAGGTGGGGGCTCTGGGAGGTACTAAGTTCTAGATGAGGTCATGAGGGCGGAGCCCACAATGGATTAACCCCTCTGAGAAGAGGAAGAGACGCAACCAGAAGACAGCTGTCTACAGTCAGGAAGAAAACTCTCGCCAGCAACGGAATCGGCTGGCAC